GATGACTTTTGGATCCCTTGGTTTATAGGAGTTTTGCTTCTTCTTTGTCTTCATTTATCTGCATATTTTCGGTCCCTCTGAAGTTATCGTTGCCCTTTCTTAATCCTCGGAGTGGTTTTGCCTCAGTCGAAGAGTCAAGCCTGGTGGTTTTGTTGGTTTTTCAAGTTTTTGTTTGTTGCCTCAGAGGGTTGTGTTAGTTTCTAGTTCAGCTTTGCCTGAAGAAGCTTTTAGTGTTGTTCAGCAGCTTTGTTCTTCATGCTGGCTTAAAGCCCCCCCTCTCCCCTTTTCTACATCCTTATATTTCTTTCTTTTAGGACATGGATATTCACTTTTTAAAACCTAGGTAATTATTCTCCCTGGATGAAAATATCCCATGAACTATGGGATTTTATTATCCTTTTTTCCGAAATGTATATGAGAGAGGAGAGAGTAATTACTCATTAATATTTTTTTCTTTAATGTGTAAATTAATTTAATTGCTTTAATTTATTATTTATATTAGTAATTGATTGTCAAGCATACATATTTTTTAATTAAAAAAAACATAAGAAAAACTTATATAATAATTATATATACATGTCATTTTATCACATAGTTGGTGAGATTTGTATGTTGATTTTAAAGTATTAAATATAGGTTTACTGCTAATTGTTAAAAACCAAAAATTAATGATAAAAGATACGAAAAATTAGGTAGAAAACGATGGTTGAATGAAGAAAAAAAGCTTTCCGCTCAAATAAAATATTTAACAATTTTTCTAGTTATTGTTAAAACTTAGCTCATAAACACATTATTTAAATCCCAAGAACAAAACCTGCAAATTAAACACATCCACACATTAATTATCCTGCCTATTCATATACAAACTTTTGTTATCCCAAACATCTAAACCTCAAATATTTAATATCCATACTCATGAAGCTATATCCACAATCCAAATGGGCTATTGTTGTTCTCTATGTTGTTGGTCTGTGTTTCTAGCCCCTCCAGGTTCTAGTTTTTGCTTTTATTAGCTCTGTTTTTGTTTTCCTGTTCGTTCCCTTTAGGAGATTATATCTCTAAACAATTTTCTTCCTTTTCATCGATCAATGAAAAAGGTTGCTAAGGATTAAAAAAATACAACTTAAAACTCATTGGAGAAAAACTTTGTTGACATAAGAACACTTATGTTAGTACATTTACTCCAAAAGCCATTTTACTTCTCCTTCCTCGTGTTAGCTTGATTTTCATTGCCATTGTACGCTTGTACATATTTACTTTGAGTCTTATTTTCTCTAAATTGTTGTGCCTATTTAGGTTTCTTGGATGTTAGTCTAGCATCAATGTTAGAATTTGCTAGTACCAATTCTGAGGGATCATTCAATTCTATGGTAATACACGTTCTATCCCACAGCGGCGAGGGACTTGTATCAAACATTCTATATGCTTTGCTTGGTGTTTCAGCAATGTCTCGGGTAAGCTTCTAATTAAATGTATGTCCATGAACGCATGTTCAATTCTTTCTTTCTTTCCACTTGCAAGTACTCTTGTAACCATATATGGTCAAAATAGAATACGCATATGTACCTTGAATGAGTAGTTTGCCATTTTAAAAAAATCGTTGATGCCTGATATTTGCTATGTATGTATAAAGAAATATGTTGTTTAGCAATTTTAAGAGAAGCGTGGAAGCCTGCTTTTTAATATAGTTGTAAAATTCCGAGATTTGAGCATTTGAAACAGTGAAAACTTTGGTGCATGGTGTTCATGAATCGTGTGGGCTGTTCCTGTTTGTGAACTTTGTCGTTATCCTCTCTAATGAAGATGATCTTTTATGTGTATGATAATGTGTTTTGCGTTGGTTCCTGGGGGTATGCATTGAAGAAAATAGAAAAAACACTCTGTTATACATACGGTCAAGAACAACGAGATCTCTTGGTTTTACTTTATCGTATTTCTCTTGAAGTTCGATAGTAGAACATTTTTATAACTGCTATTTATGTTCCTTAAACTCTTGGAGACCTGTAATGTTGTTGGCAGTCATTCATTCTCCTTCTGCTAAATTTCGCATATAAAGGAACTTTTTTTTCGTCTAATTGAATACTTGCAAGACGTGCAGTCAAGTTAACACGTAAACCTCTCAATCAGGTTCATAAGTGTGCAACAGTTCTGCAACAGTTGGCAGCAATTTGCAGTGTCAGTGAAAGAACGGACTTGAAAGCTGTCCTGCGCTGGGAATCTTTGCATGGCTGGCTACTATCAGCGGTTCTCTCTCTCTCTCTCTCTCTCTCTCTCATATATATATATATATATATATATATGCGCGTGTATGTGTCATTTTGTAAATATTGACTCTGCATAATAGTTATAATTAAAAAGAGGATGATTTTGCTGTGGGTCACTATAATTTAATTTACTTTCAAAGCGTTTTATAATTTGAAATCAGATTAAAGGAAAAAAAATGCATGTACTAAAAGATTAATCTTTTAAACTATATTTCTGAAAAGGAATACAAACAAATAGATCCTGTGTTATTTTCTGATAGAGACCAATATAGCTGCCTCAGTTTGATATTTCTATGCATACAGACATTTGAACTAGGCATTTTGATTGTTAAAAGTGTAGAGTTCTTCCAGGTGCAGGCTCTCCCACTTGAATATTTAAAACCAGGGGAAGTAGAAACTCTTGTACCACTATGGTTAAAGGCGCTTGGAGATGCAGCCTGCGACTACCTTGAAAGTAAAAGTTGTGATGAATTAAAGACTAATTATGGACATATGCAAGGGAAGGGTGGAAGAGTCTTGAAGCGTCTAGTTCGTGAATTTGCTGATGGTCACCGCAATATTCTTAATGTGATTTAATTGCTGCATGGCATCTATATAACATCATCATTAGAGGAGCCCCAGATCATAGCTTTTCTGCTTATGCCCCATTCTGTCGTTGAGGCTTATTTGGCAGCTGAAAGTTCAGGCTGGTTTGGAATCTTCGGTCAATCCTGGGCAATGTCCTGCATAAATTATGAACATCCTCTTCTTTTTTTTACTTTTTTTCTTCCTTCTTCTTCTTTTTTCTTTTCTTTTTTTTTTTTTTTTTTTTT